CTGAACACTTCTCAGTACTTTTATTTCAAAGTTTTTACTATGATTTAAAGAGTTTCTCGTATACTTACAAATTTATTGCCTCTTAAATTTTTCATTTACCTCTTAGATATTTGGACCCAGTCCTGAAGCAACCGGTCTATTTTCATCACCTTCAATCCAGGAATTTTGGCTTGTTTCAGAATATCACAAGTTGGGTAGCGTTTATGACTATCTTTCGACAGACACTGTCCTCTCCTGGGGTCAGATGATGCACATTGCCGTTGGTCTGGCCCGCGGGCTTGCCCATTTGCATACAGAACTTCTTCCTACGTTAGCCTCTTCTGCCGCTACTAACATAGCTCCGATGGCTCCTAACACCAAAACTGTCTCAACAACTGCAGTAAGCACCTCCGTCTCTCCCCCTCAGATACAGATGTTATCTCCAGGAGTATCCGCGACGGCCACAGGGGCAGGATCAAACTTATCTGCTCTTGTGCCACCGATCCGGCAAATTGGCAAGCCAAGTGTAGCACATCGCGACCTGAAATCCAGAAACGTCCTGCTCAAGGCGGACATGACGGCTTGCATCGCTGATCTCGGTTTAGCTATTCGCTTTGAAACGGGCCAGTGTATTGGTGATGCTCATCTTCAGGTAATGGGGTTTCTCAATTTATAATCCTATACAGACTTACATGACTATAGCTATTTACTTACCAGTGGCCACTGCAATGCATCAACTAGATAGATTAATGTGTTGGTTTGATCTCGTTTTCGCAACTTGGTCGGAGTGACCGGGAGGCCTTGTGGAACATAGCTAGTCCTGCTTCCTCTTCCACACTTCATTTTGATTTCGAGCATCGGACCGTCTCTGTGTCGGCTAAATGAAACTTTGAACAAACAAAAGGCTTCATATCTAAATAGTTTAAGTCCAGAGATAGATAAAGTAACAATTTTTTCCTAATTTGCTTCGCGAAGGTACATGCTTCGTAAAACTATCTTTGGCTGTTTCCCCTTTCAATTGTCAACTTGATCCATAGAAGAGTTTGATTATCTGTAGAGGATGTCTCAAATTCTAGTACTAAAATTCATTT